TATAAAATTTTACATGTTTTTTAGTGGTTGCTCTAGCAGTTTCACTATGCAGATACACTTAATCACATTCCATAGGTATAACTACTTACTACTTCACTACAAATTCAGGATGTGAGCTGGGTGGTGTTTGACATTTCTCCCTTCTAAAGCCTTCTGCTGTGTTGTGTTGATTCTGGTTGGTTTCATGTGTTGACTACCTGAAAGTCTTTCCAGAACTTCAAATATGTATTGAAAAATACATTAAAACTTACTATTTAGGTACATTTATTCACCTTCTTTTAACACATACTTGTAGGAAATATTTCTTTCATGTACAGTGAGGATACAGTTTTTGTTTTCAACAATAAAATCTACAGGATTGTTATGAGTTCTACATGTCTATGTCCTTTGTTCGTTCCTAATATTCCACGTTTCCTGCTGTCCTTTCCTTTCTGAATGAGGAATTTCCTGTAGCAATTATTTCTCTAGAAGGTCTTCTGGTGACAAAGTTAAAAACTTTTCCTTCATCTGAGAATGTGTCATCTTCATTACTGAAAGATATTGAGTATAGAATTCTGCTTTGAAAACTTTTTTTGCCATGCTGGGGATTGAACCTAGAGTCTTCGACGTGAGAGGCAGTCACTTGAGCTACACCCCACCCTAAACGCTCTTTTAAGTATGCAAGAAATGTACCACTTACTTCAGGCTCCATGGTTTCTGAGAAATAAACTGCTATTGTAATTATTTTTCCCTACAGGTAATGAGTGGTTTCTTTCTGAATGCTTTTTTTTTTCAATTTTTAAAATCATGATATATCTTTTATGAATTTCTTTGAGTTTGTCCTGTTTAGGGATTCCTCAGTTTCTTGAACTATCTTCAAGTTCAATGATTCTTTCCCCTGTCATTTTGATTCTGCTATTGAGCACACAGACTGTCTTTTAAATTTGTTACTTTTCCAGTTTTAAATTTTTCAATTGATGTTCCAATGTTCATTCTTGAAACAAATGAGCAAAATAGTTTAATATAAAGTCTAAGATTTTATTTTCTCAAGACTGTGCATAATTGCTCATTGGAGCATTTTATGGTGACTGTTTTAAAGATCCTTGGCAAATTAAGTTCTGAAATTTCCTAGTTCTTGGTGTGATAACTGATATTTGATTATATTGTAGATATTTTGAGCATGGATAACCCAATTTCTCTTTAAATCTTCTAATTTTGCATGTAATTGGTTTTATTCCAGTTTGGAACTTACCTTCTGGCTTTTCTTTCTTTTTTGGGGGGGGTTGGGAATTTTGTTTGTCAACTTAATTTTTATGGCCTTTGCAGTACTATTTGGATACACCCCATTTGTGAACTCTCTGAGGTCAATATGAATCCCAGATGACATGCAGTCACCTTGTATGGCAAGGTGAAATGTAGTTTACTTTTACAACCTTTTGCTGTGTTCATTCTGGTTAAATATAAGCAAGATCATCTACTTATAAGGATGAAAGTGTTTAAAGTTTGAGGAAGGACGTGAAGAGATGAGACAGCTAAAAGAGAGATAGGCAGTGGATAGATTATGGAAATACACACTAAGGCTAACCAGAGTTTTAGTGTCACAAGTGTAAAATGATTCCAATTAAAGTGACTCTGTATATAAGTTAAACTGGTGGAAGAATACAATGAATCCAGCTTTAGTTTCTCACTACTTTCAATGTTCCCTTTTCCCCACTCATACTACCCCTCATTGACCTCTTGTTTTTGCTTTTGACAAAACTACAGAAAATTGAGCATTGAAGCAAATTAAAGCATACATAGGGCTATGGCAACATGGAGTATTTTTAACTTGTGAGGGCAACACAGTGGCATCTACTGGACACTACATGAACTGCTAGTTCAAGGTACTTCCATTCCATAATTAGATGGAACCACTTTCCTGTTACATAATTTGTCAAGCTGAGTTTTTAACCATTACTGAAAGAAAAGAAAATACTGAAGAAGAATTAGCATTGAGTGTCCAATCTAACTCCAAAGTTTGAGTTGTGTGGTACCTAACAGGTATGCTATTCCACTAAGAGTGAAATTTAAAAACTTTTTAGTTTTAATTTATCTATATTATTCTTTAAAAAACAGCTACTAAGTTGTTAAGGTACAAACTTCTAATTAGATTGTTTGGACTTATGCTATTTAATGTACATTTTTAATGTTTATTTTGACTTAGAGGTGAAGTGGAAAAGTAAGAGACACTAAGGTATCCATCATTAACTAAAAACACTTGGGACCTGAAGATTTAAGGATGAATTCCTGTTGTTTTATTCCTTCCAAGTAATAGGTAAGACCTTGAAGGATATTGTTCTGTGTGGTAGAAATTGTTATACCTTAGACTAAATCTCAAAGGGGGATAACTTATGACCAACACTTTCTCCATCTTACCCCACCAAGTTCACTTATTACCTTAAAACTTGAATCTTTTCTCTCTCCAGTTTTAATGACACATGGCTACACCATCACCACTGTTATAATTTGAGCATTTAAAGACAAGAAGAAATATGTACCTCTCAGCTCTCCAGATTACTGTGTCTCTACAAGACACCACACCATATAGGTCACCAGAAGACTTGACTTCGATGTATCTTTTTGTCAACTCCAAATTAGTCCAAGTAATTATGATCCAGAATTGCTTTCTTTTATCCAGAAAAGATACCAATAACATATATATGTGTGTTGAAATGAAATTCCACCAGGCTGTGTTCATGCATGCGTATGTCTATGTATGAAATGAGCCATTTAGGAAACTGACTGCTTCTCTTCCCTAATCTGACACTGAAAGTTTTCCATGCTATAACTGAGGGTATAGCTCAGTGGTAAAGGGTACAGCATACTGCAAAAAAAAAAAGACAGAGATTATGCTTATTAATTTTTGTTAGGTTCAGTACCAAGGACAAGGCCTGGCACATGGTAGACATTCAATAAATGTTTTTAATAGAACACGGAAATTAATAAATTAATGTTATCTGATTTGTATAAGCAGAGGAACTATAAAAACTAAAGAAAGTTGAGCTTCAGGGTCCCCAAAATTTGTAAGAGTAAGGTATTTTTTACTACCATTAGTTAAAAACATTATCTCTTTCTGCTTTGACCATCCCTCTACATATTCCCTGTTCTGTGAGATTAGAGGGTGCAAACTGTTTTGGGACTAAGCTCATGGAAGACTGAGTTAGGATGCAGTTAGTTAGGGCTTAGTGTGCTATGTATTTATGTGACTGACATTCACTTTGTGTACAGTTATGCTAGCCATCCTTATGTACAAATAGCTTCCAGGAATCCTATGAAGAACACATCCCAAATGGTGACACCAGAGTCAAGATGAGCTATATCACAATGTGAAAGCCTTCCAATGTGCCCAGAACTGAAGCAATGTGCAGAGTAGTGAAGAAACAAGCCTGGAAAGGTATAGTATAGGAATGTGGGCTGTGAAAGAGGTTTCCATTCATCAGGTATGTAAAATTATAGGCTGATAAATATTTCTGTACAACATCTAGTCAAAAAGAATGTTATCTTCTGACAGAAATGTCCTCAAAAGAGTATATATTTACTGTTTTTTGAGGACTACGTTCTATAGGACTTAGTTATGTTATAGACAGAATTTTGTGTCTGTGGGGTACAAATTTATACCAGTACCACAAATAGCAAGAACATCTGTGGGTGAAATGATATATTTTATTCATCCTAATTTATTGGTGTATACCTTACCACATCTTCTGCTCTGATGAAGCCTGGTGATTCCAAATGAAAGGGTGTACACAATTATTAGAGTTAGCAAAAGTGCCTGAGTTTTCTGAATTGTCAATAATAGAATTTGATCAGCCACTAGACTGGATTACTTTTGATCTTTCTATAAAAACATACTACAAAGTTATTTTATGAAGAGATGATCAAATAGTCAAAAATGTAGGAAAATATGTACCAAGTAGTTAACTAAAATATTCTTCTGGACTTAGGATGTTTTGGGTTCAATTATTACATATATAAGTTATGTGGTGATATCTTTTCTGGCTCTAAATAAAAATGCCCTTTCATATCTAATTTTGTTTTCAATGCTCTGTAATATTTTTTTCTTTTGAATAAACAGACATCTGATGTCCTAGTGACAGTTCTTCACAATATAACATCTAGTCACTTAATTGTCCCTTATCATTTTATGGCAAGAAGTTAAGCTACTTCTAACAGGTCTAATTTGCATTGCCAGAAGTGACAGGAAATCTTCTGAAGCATACATTTAATTTTAAATGATACAACACTCATTAGTCTATTTGGATTTTCAGGAAAAATTGCTGTTATTTTTGGATATGATAATGGTATTATAGTTATGTTAAAATTAGCTCTTATCTTTTGGAGATATATAATAAAGTATTTATTGATCAAATGATGTATACAGGATTTGCTTCAAAATACTAATGGAAGACTGAATGGGAAGTGGATAAGGCAGGTTTGGTCACAGGTTGATAGTTTGGAATGTGGTTAATGGGTATACAGAAGTCTGTCATGCTATTGTGTGTGCTCAAAGTTCTCTATAATAAAAGTATTAAGCTATTCAAGCTGGTTGTCAAACTCAATGGACATAAGAGTACTTGTCCTGTAATACGTGGCATTTGACACTGCTATCTGAAATGCTTCCTCCTTTATCCCTATGCGTCTTTTCTCCTAACTCTCTAGATTTCTCCACCTTATATATAGGGTAAAATTCCTCCCCCTCTCCCTCCAGGCATTGGGGTAGGGTGGAAAAGGATGTCTGTGTCTGCAGACTGCTCCTCTAGCATTATGAGGAGGCAGCATCAACTAAAAGGAGTTCACACATGGTAGGACTAAACCCAAAGACATCTACTCTTCCATTATGGACTCCAAAAACAACTGAACAAATCTGCCTCAGAAATAAAATATATCAACTGAGGATACATTTGACATTGTTATTTTATTTTTTCTAGAATACCATAATAGCAACCAGCATTCCAATTCAGAGGAATGTATATATGGTAATATTAACTTTGATGAACTGGACTAACAGGCCCTGAGAGTGACCCCAACAACTTTTTGGATGAGTTCCAAATATTCCAAGAACCCGAAATCTTTGCCACCAAGGGAACTTTGAAGTTTCTCTTCTTTAAGGTTTTGGGAGGAACAGTGAAGCGAATGGTTTGGGGTAAAATTTCCAGTGAGTCTGCTGGTCTACAGGCATAAAAAAAGGGCTGGTTTTGTTTTCCTTCTGAATGGAAGTTGATACCCTCCCTATGAAGTTTTGATGCTGACCTATGTTTGTTTTGGGAACAATCTGACCTGTCTCCTTTCTCCTTTCTTGGGTGTTTCTCTTTACTGGGTTCATGACTGTAATCACAATCCCAGTGAACACTGCGCTTTCTAAATTCAAATTTGGCCTTCTTTCTTTCTTTGCTTTCAGAATGCATGTGAGGCTTGCTATTCTTTTTTCCATATTGTAATTTAATATTTGATTCAGTGGAGGAAGTTGAGGAATAACTTGTGCTTGTTGAAGTCCATGAAAGTTTCTCTTCACTGAATGATATGGAAGATGATATAGACTGAATTTCCACCGTGTTTGATGAACTAACGCACACCCACTCAGGAGACAGCATGTTGGAGGATGATTTATATTTCCTGCTTCTGTGAGAGTCACAAGAACTGTAAAATGGTTTCAAATAAGTTGCTTCTTTTATTTTGTAGATTTTTTTCAAAGGAATGCCTTTCTGTAATTCAAATAGAACGTTCTGTGAAACCTGACTTAAGAAAGGGCTGGCTTCAAAAAACATACTTTCCTCACTCCCATCTGATTCAAGAGTTGGATATTCCTCCAAGTTAGCAGAACTCTCAGTATTTATCTGAATATTAGTGGAATCATCAGAAATCTGAGTTGAGTGTGAATCAAGTAAATCAGTGGTATTTTCCCAAGTCCTTAAATCAGAAGTGTTATATGTTTTTGTTTCTTGAAACTGTACGTGACATTGCTTGTCTTCTTCTGGAGTCTGGTGGGATTTTATCTCTGAAAGAACTCTAGTGTCTTTCTGCCCCACACTGCATAGATTATGATCAAAGTCATGCACACTGATTGGCTCCAGGAATTTTCTGAAGAGTAATGAGTTTTCATGGGGACTTTGCTTTTTGAAAGAAATACGTTGTTCTAACAGTTCTGTATCAAGGGAAGGAGTAAAACCTTCTCCACTATCATCTATTTTTTTACATGCTGAAACTGTGTTTAATTTAAGAGTGTGTTTGGGAAGTGCTTTTGGCTTAGGGAACGTACTATCAACAGAAAGCCCCAGGTGAAAGCGGAGGTGTTTGTATTGTAAATCAAGATCGATTTCATGAAGAGATTTTTCCTCAAAAAATAATAAAATTTTGCTTTTCTGTTTTGGTACTTGGACAACAGTATGCATACAGTTGTTAAGTGAAGGTTTCATTCTGTCTGAGGCACTGGCCATTGCACAAGAGTCTCTTACAATTTTGGAAAAAGCTTTCATTTGTATCTCCAATGTTTTAATAGAAAGATGCATGAAAAGTTTATCTTTTTCTTTTACTGAATAGCTTTGGAGAACATGAGTCAATGGGATCTCACTAGCAGAAGTCACTAATGATGTCTGACTATCTCTCATTTTAATATTCTTCAACATTGGGATGACCTTCTTGCTACTTGAAACATTAGGACTCCATGTCTTCATGGAGCTGAGAGGAGGACAGTCTTTTTGGTAATTGTGTTTTAAGTTAAATTCTACAGTACCAACCCCTTCTGAAGACATAAAATCTACTTTTTTATGTCTTGGATAGAGCTTCCAGCTGTTATCTTCTGAACTATCCCCTTTTGAATAAAAGATAAACTTTCGTAAGGATATTTTTGCCATTTCTGGTATCAAATTCAGTTTTATTTCAAGTGCTTTTGAATGTAGATGATTAGTGAGTTTATTTTTTTCTTCAGCAGTAAAATGTTTCAAAAGGTGTTTGTGCTGCAATCTGGAATATGTTGTTGGTGATATATCTAGATCCTCTGGAAAAGGTGATGATTTCAACTCATCAGGTTTATAAGCTTGTACTTTTCCTGATTTGTCAGAAAAAACTTTGTCTTGGGTCATATTTCCTACTTGGAATTTAAAGACACTTTTAATTGCTTCATAAATGAGAAATAAACTTTCTGCACTTGTACCATCTCCAGGTATTTTGAATTCATCATTTTTAACTTGAGGTGGTGTAAGAATGGTTCTTGGAACAATTTCTTGTTGCTGGACCTTTTGTGTGGTAGTGTTGCATATGGAGTCATCCTGATTCCTTTGCTTCGGAAGCAAGGAATACTCCCCAGTATCAAATAACTGAGTTTTACATTGTGGTTCTTCTACCACTGGAGATGGAATATTCACACTTATAGTCCTTTTCATGTGGGTTTCCACAATTCCCATTGGATCATCAAACAAAAATGGACAGTCTATGGGTGTCAGAATGCATTCTGCCATCTTTTCTTCTTGTTTAGTCATATGCATGTCAGGTTTTTTTATAATCCTAAAGTCATTATACCCTGGAACAAGCTTCTCTCTTGTTTGTGGAGTTAATTTTTTTTTATTTATTTCACCTTTAAGGTTTGCTTCTGATTTGACATGAGGAAGTTTTTGCATTTGTTGTTCACTCATAAAAGGTTGGGAATCCTGTGGAACTGTGTTTGTAAGATTCTGTTCCCTCTTTCTTATTAAGGTGTCCTTCTTAATAATTTCACTAGTGTTTGGTGACTTCTCCTGGAATTCAGAAAGGCAGTCTTTCTTTTCCCTTACTAGGTTTGTCTCAGATTCAACAGTTTCCTCAGTATGAGGCAGACTCATGGAAATAGAAAGGCTTCTGATAAACATTCCTGGGATATTTTCACTACATGAAACCATGTAGATTGGTTTTTTGTCAACAAATTCTAATTTTATTCTTTTGCTTGGAGTGCCATGTCCGGTGATACCAAGAATTTGTGAAACTGGGTGCTTTTGGATTTTCATAGTTACATACTTGGGGTTCAGTTCTCTTTTCAGACTTGTTATTGTTAATAAGCCCTTCTGGTCTTTAAGAGAAAGAGGGATAAGGGCATGAAATGAATCCAGAACATTTCTTTGAGACAATTTTTGTACCTGAATGTTTTGTTCTGCAAAACTAGACAATTCTAGTTCCTGTTCTTGCTTTTGCTTGACTGGGCAGTTGTTCTCTGTGTGAGTGATTACCTGAGATTTCTCTGCCCCTGGAGCTAGAACACCCAGGCTCACAATTCTGCTTGTGTCCATTATGTTCTCCTTCTCCAGGTTGACAGTGTTCTCGTGCATTTCTGTTTTGTCTTCTTCTAGATGTACAGTTGTGTTCGTGTCTACTTTAAATTTCCCTTCTTCCTGACCCACAGCACTGTTATTGCCCATTTCCAGTTTTTTCTGTTCCAGATTTATAGTGGTGCTCGTGTTAGCTTCATCCTTTTCCTCCGGGTGTCCAGATTGAAAAAGAGTCCAGGGTGGTTTAAGGAACTTCTGAAGCAATTCTAGAGCACGCTTTTCTTGCTCTGGAATAAGCGATGCTGGATCTTCTTTTCCTCTTTGAGCATTACACGCTGTGACATCCATGTGCTCTCCTGTTAGTATTTGTAGGCTGCGGTACACTGTAGCTTTCTTGTCTGTATCTGTTTCTAAGAGTGTTTCCTGCTTTCTATTCTGAAGTGGTAGCTTAAGAGAAAGGGTAGATTTTGGCATGGTCTTGTGCCCAAATTTAGACTGTGCCATTACTTGCTTTTTCATGGTATGTTTCTCTTCTGTATTTTGAAGGGTACTGGAGTTGGTGATATTTATTTCTTCAAGTGATTCTAACCCTTCAGGAGAAAACATTTTGCTTACTTTATTGTTACTTTCTACATTTTTCTCTGGCTTATGAAGTTCACTTAAGACCACAGACTCTGGAGACACTTTCGATGATGCTTCCTGTTTGCTAGTATCTGTCTCTGTTGCAGAAAATCCTTTTGACCTTAAAGGGGTGCCACATGTGATATATATTTCCTTGGATGTTTTTCTTGGCAGTGAAATTGAAGCCTTAGGGCTTATTTTATGGTTTAAATTATTCATGATTTCAGATTGTTTCTTCAGATTTCCAATTTTGATTGAGTTCATTGTGGGGAAGGAATGAAAGGTAGCCAAAGGTTCTTTTCTATTTTCTTTTCCATTTTGTAGATTGATTAAAATATTACCAGTAACTGGCTTCATATATGTTCCCCCTTCATAATTTGATGATTCATGGAAGCTTCCCATGGAAAAAGAGGAATTTGTTAAAGTTGACATGCTTTCTGTGGGAGATCTGGCAGTGGAAGTTTTAGAATCTTTATATTCCTTTGGCTTATCTTGTTGTCCTATCAAAGGCAATTCTATCATTTTCCAACTTCTGATGGTACTAAGTTCCGTGAAATAAATGTTCTCATCTTGTGAGTCTGAATCTCTTTCTGATTTAACTTGTGGAGGTTCATTCCTTTGCTGAACACTCATCATGAAGTCTGAAGTCCACTGTTGCTCTGCCTCCTTCTGGAGCACATGATGTTCTGTTCCTTTAACGTTTTTATTGGCACTTTGAACAGACTCTCTATTCGCTGTTTCCTCAGCATCTGATGATTCCTGGAGATTTTCCTGTGAACAAGAGGCTCCTCTGTTCTCTGCTGTATCTTCATCTACTTTGTCCCCTGAATCCAGACAAAAGGGAGGTGCCAAAGGTATGGAAAGGAAATTCTTTGTCAGGAATACACATGGTTCACCTTTATCTTTGTGCACTTTTTTCTCCTGCACCTTCATATTCAGCATGAATCCCTTTGTATTAAGGATATGTGGAATCAGTGAAATCCTTGCCTTTTTGCAATACACCTTGATCGTCAGGTCTACTGTTTTCATTTCACTTCCTTCTTTTTTCTGGGTCATAAATTGTTTTCCTTTTCTGACATCACCATTCATGGCTTCTATGGCTGCTCTCTTCTCTGCTTCCGATAATGCTGGAAGTGTTAGTGGAAGAAAAGATATTTTACTTCCAATCCTTTCTTTATCTAATTGCACACTTTCATCTTGTTTAAAGTGAGGTGGAATCGGTTTGGAAACATAAGTTTTTCTTAGTTCTATACTTTGTGTTTCACCTTGACCTTCATGTTCCTTTGCCTTGTGCCTTTTAACATCCAGGTGCAGTTCTGTTCTATGGAGCTTATAGGAAGGAGGTGATTTTCTTGCCTTCAAAATTATATCTGTGCCTCTCCTACTTATTGTTTCTTTAAAGTCTGTCTCTTCTTTCTGAAGCATATGTTGTAGTTCAGCATCTTTCATTATATCACCTTTGATTGCCTCTGTGGGTACTGCTTCTCCCCCATTTGATATTCTCTGCAAAGATGACTTTGTAAGTCTTAGCATTTCATCATCTAATTCTATTTTCTTACCTGATATGATGTGAGGCAGAGATGGTAATGAGGTAGAAGATTTGGTGAGAACCACTCCTGGTTTATCTTTATATTCTTGCCCCTTTATTTTCTGCTGTTTGGGGAACATTGTGATCTTTCCTATTTGTGCTTCATTCTCTTCCTTGTTCCCTGGCACATGTTTTCCATTTTGTAGATCGATTAAAATATCACTAGTATCTGGCTTCATATATGTACCACCTTCATAATCTAATGTTTCCTGGAAGTTTACCATGAAAAAAGAGGATCTTGTTGATGTTATCCTGCTTTCTTCCTTGATTCCGGCATTTGTGTTAAGGAAAGTTGGGGAAGATCTAGCAGTGTGAATATTAGTCAACACCAGACCTGGCTCACTTTTATCTTCCTGGACCTTTTCCTCTTGCTGAAACTGTGTGAGAGACAATTTTTTAATTCCATGTGCCAGAACTGTAATTAGTTCATTTTTATCTTCTTTCATTTTTCTCTTTTGCTCTTGAATTTTCCTCTGCAACTCTTTGGTACTAAGTTTATGTGAAAGTGACAATTTTCTCATCTTCAGATCCATACATTTGGGGATCTTTTTGAATTTCCTGTCTACTTTGTGTCTATCTTTTTCTTCTTCCATTGTTATGGATTGTATCAGTTCTTTTCTGTTGCTATCCAGTGACTCCAGTGAGTCAGTATACCTTTTTTTATCTAACTCTGGTACATTCTGAATTGTTAGTATTGTAGAACAGAATTGTGTTCTTCCTAGTGTGCCTTCCTTTTCATTCACTCTATTGTCCTGTTTCAGGCAAAATGGGGAAGGTAATGAAGCAGTCTTCTTCAGAACCATTCCTGTTTCACTTTTGTCTTCTTGCATTTTTTCCCTTTTCTCTTTAATACTCAAAGGAAGTATTATTCTTTTGTGTAGATGTGCAGGTGGAGATATCTCTGTTCTCAAAGTTATTCTTTCAGGGAATATTCTTTTTGTGTCTTCTATTTTTACAATGCCCTCTGCCTCTTCATATGGCCTTTGTAGATTTGCTTTTGCTATTATATTATGTGAGCTAACACCTCTATTTGAACGTGCATATCTGATTTCTTCTGCACTTGATGATACTAGAAGCTTTACTTGGAAAGGAGAGAATCCATGTTGAGATGGAGAAGGCATAGAAGGATCAGTTTTTGTCAGAACCACATTAGGGTCTGTTGTTTTTTCTTCCTTCTGTTCTTCTTTTTCTTCATTGTTCCACTGTGGTTCCTTTCTCTTGCTCAGAGTACTGTACTCATTGATATTGAATGTAGAAGGAGGCGAAGATGTCCTCTCCTGGAAAACTGGGCTATTGGGGTGTATCAAGTCATTTGTAGTTAAGGTTTGTACTCTGTCTTCTGTCAATGGTAGATACTTTCTTTTCTTCACATGGCTAGCAATAGATTCCATTGATGCTGTTTTCTTTGCAAGCAAGTCTTCCTGGAGCACAGGGTGTAGCACACAGCTTTTAATTATTCCTGGTTCTTCTTTTTCTTCTTCTTCCTTTAATGTGTCTAATTTAGAGAGAGCTGAAGAGGTGACAAAAGGACAAGTTTTGCTCAGAAGCAGAACTGTTTCTTCACTGCCTCCCTTTCTCTCTTTCTTTTGCTCTTTGGTATTCACTTGCAGTTCTTTTTCTTTGATTATATGAGTAAGGTGTGACTTATCCGCCCTCACAGCTATGCACTTGGGATGCATTATGGTTTTCTCAAAAATATTTGGTTTATTCTCTTCTACGTGTGTCATGTATTTTGTTGTTTTTGAATTGGTTGAGATGTCATTTAAAGACAACACTGTGTGCTTTAATTTTTCTGTATCTGATGATTCTATGTTTTGTGAAGGTGGGAGAAAAGATCTTGTTACTACTTGTTTCTCTTCCTTGATTTTTATTCCTTTATCTAACTTACTGTGAAATAAAGGTAAAGTTAGAACTTCATCTAGTTCACTTTTTGTTTCCTTCACTTGTCCCAGATTTTCATGTACATTTGTTTGTTCTTCTTTAGTTTGGGGGCCACTGTACTCAGTGATACTGGATACAGGTGAAAGTGGTAATTGACTTGACTTGGAAGCCCCACTTTCAGGGTACATTATATATTTCATATTTACTTCTTTTCCTCTCCCTACTCCTTTTTGTGGCTGGTGCTCTTGTACCATTTTTATATCATTTGTTTTATCTTCTCCAATTGACTTTATATATGCTATTTTCCCTGCACCAAATGATTTCTGGTACTGTAGTTGTGAAATAGCAGATTTTGTTTTTCCTGGTATGTCTTCTTCTCCTTCTATTTCTCTGTCTAATTCATGAAGAGTTTGAGAAGACTCAAAAGGAAAATATATATACAGAACTATATCCTCTTCTTTTTTACCTTCTTGATCTGTTTTTCCTTGCTTTTTACCTTCTGTACCTGCTTTCTCTGGCTCTTTACCCTCGGGATCTGTTTTCCCTTGATCTTGGCCTTCTGGATCCATTTCCCCTTCCTCTTCACCATCTGGATCCCATTCCTCTTGTTCTTCACATTTTCCATTTGTTTTCCCTTGCTCCTGACCTTCCAAATATATTTTCTCTTGTTCTTTACTATCTTGATCTATTTCTTCTTGCTGCTCACTGTCTTGACCACATTCTTCTTGTTCTTTTCTTGCTCCATTTGTTTTCCTTTGCTCTTGAATATCCAGATCCATCTTTCTTTGTTCTTTACTGTCTTGATCTACTTCCCCTTGCTCTCCATCAGGATCCCATTCCTCTTGGTCTTTACATTCTCCATTTGTTTTCTCTTGCTCTTGGCCTTGTACATCTATTTCTCCTTGTTGTTTACTCTCTTGAGCCATTTTCCCTTGCTCTTCATCTTCTTTATCCCATTTTTCATGCTTCTTACCTTCATCTGTTTTCTCTTGTTCTTGGGCTTGTAGACCCATTTTCCCTTGTCCTTTAACGTCTCCATCTTCTTTTCCCTGTTTTTTACCTTCTGGATCTGTCTTCTTTTGCTTTTGGCCTTCTGGATCCATTTTCCCATAATCTTTACCATTGTAATCCAATTTAGCTTGCTCTTTACCTTCCTTATCTGTTTTCCTTTGATTTTGGTCTTCTGCATTCATTTTACCCTGCTCTTTATTACCTTGGTCCCATTTCCCTTGCTTTTTATTATCTAGATCTGTTTTCTCCTGTTCTTTGCTTTCTAGATCCACTTTCCGTTGCTTTTTGCTATCTGATTTCTCTTGTTCTTTACCTTCTCCATCTGTTTTCCTTTGACCTGGGTCTTCTAGACCTACTTTTCCATGATCTTTATTGCATTGATCCCACTTCCTTTGCTCTTTATGGTCTAGATCCACTTTCTCTTGTTCTTTACCTTCTCTGTCAACTTTCCTTTGTTCGTTACTTTCTCCATCCACTGTCTCTTGGTCTTTGCCATCATAATCCCGTTTCCCAAGTTCTTCACTTTCTCCGTAGGTTTTTTCTTGCTTTTCACTTTGTGAAACCATTTTTCTTTGCTCTTTAGGATTCAATGGCTGGTCCTGTGAATGTGCCTTGTTTCCTTCCAAAACTTTATCTTTTGAATGCACTATATCTTTCTTGGCTAATATTTTTATTCTATCCTCTCTTTTCTGTGGCATATGTTCTTTTACTTTTTGTGTATCACTTGTGGTATTACTCTCAATGGACTCCTTACTTGCTTCTCTCACTACATCTGAAGATTTCTGGTGTGATAGTTCTGGAAGAGAATATCTTGTCACTTCAGTTATAGTTGAGTCCACTTCAGTGTAAGGGGGAAGAGAGATGGAAGATTTGCTCTGAATCTCATCTGGTTTATCTTCCTGTACCTTTTTCTCTTTTTCTTCATCGTTCAATTGTAATTCCTGTAACTCTGAAGATTGCTTCACCCCCAAAGTTATTCTTTCGGACTGCATTATTTCTTCATAGGTTATTTCCACCCTGTCTTTCTGTGACAAATGTTTTGCTCTTTTTATACTGCTTAAAATATCATCAGTTGGCTCCTCACACATTGCCATTGCACCTGACAATTCCTGAAGTGTTGACGTTGGAAGACAGAATTTTCTTACTCCTTGTATGTAACACTCTTTTATTTTAGGATCCCATTCTAGATTAGATGAAGAAGGAATGAAATCCCAGAGTTTATTCTGCATCATTTTCTCTCGTTTTCTCTTTTTCCTTGGTTCTTTCCCATGCAGTAACTGTTTAAAAGGTGAGTTCTTTCCTTTTAGAATGGTGCATATGAGGTCCATTATATCATTTACATCTACTCTATTTTCTCTATATTCCTTCTTCCTCTGTGGCAGACATTTTAATTCTATCATCTTGCTTAAGTGACCTGTATTAGCTGATTCTGAAAATATTTTTCTGATGTTTGATGATGCCTGGAGCTTAAGTGGTGGAAGGCAGCTCCTTGGAATTCTTGATTTACCATTTTCTACTTTAATTGTTGAATCCAAATTAGGATGTAATGGAGATGATAAAGAAGTACACAAGTTTGTCAGTTTAATACCTGATTTTCCTTTTCTTTCTTGCACCTTGTTCTTTCTAATGCCGAGTGGCAAAGGTAATTTCTTTCCATTAATTGTATGTGACCGTGACGATTTCTCTCTCTTCAAAGTAATGCGAAAGTCCATTATTTCTTTCATTGCCACTGTTTTCACACTGTCCTTCTCTTCCTGTGATATATGTTGTTTTGTTCTTTTTACACTGTCTAAGATAGTCCCATCAGTTGTCTCTTTATCCAATCTGATGTGAGGTAAACAAGGGATAGGCTCATATACTTTTGTCACAACTGAATCTGGACCACCACTCCTATGTTTCATACTTGGCATTGTCTCTTTTATGTTCCATTGCAGTTCTGGTTTGTTTGGGGTATCACAATCAGTGACATGGAATGGATCTGAAAATACTGCCTTCTTCCATTTTAGAGTTCCTCTTTGGGGGCATGTTTCGCCTTTCATAACTGCTTGTTTTTTGCTACCCTTCTGTCTCTTATTTTCATGCAAAAGATGCACAAATACAGAGAAAGAATGAAAAAGCGTTGTAGGTTGGCATGCTTCTATTTGTCTCTTTTGCTTTGCCTTGTATAATTCTACCTTATTCCTGATCCTTAGTCTGAGTGAGTTACCTTGTGATAGTGACTCAAATACCTGTGCCCCATGTGATGACTGATTTCCTTTTGAAAATAAAAGATTCTGATATTTTGTACTTTTTCCAAATGCTTCTACATGCAATGTTCTATTTTGTTTTTTCATTTGTATTGGTGTAATTGAGGGCATAAACCATTCCATACTTATTTGATCTTTAGAAAATAAGTGTAGTCCTTTTATCCTGCTTGACACATTACTTATTTCTGATAAAGCTGCCTTTGTCTGAGGCATCAAATGTGGTGGAAGATAGGGATAATTTTGAGAGTAAGATAGATGCTCCTTGATGTTGTCATAGGAAATTGGCAGGTGATGCTCTTTTCGTTCTTTTTTTCTTTTTTGAGCGTATCCATCTATTGCATCCATTTGTTTTAGTGGTATTTTAGTATGTGAAGTTGAATAGTCATGCCTTAAAACTTTTAAAGCATCTAATTTTACTTGTTGCATTGGGATATTAATTTGAAGTGTATCTGTTTTGGAGTGAGAAGTGGGCTTTGGAAGAGGCATATATGTACATTTTTCTTTCTGTTCCACCTTTTCTGTATTAGTAGTGTGGTACCATGGATCATCTACTGCCTTTAATGCTTTCTTTACCCAGGGTGATGTAATCTGACATATATCCATCAAAGAATGAGTAATACAGGTTGGAGAAGTCTTGCATATACTTTCTTGTTGATGTTCTTTTTTCCCTCTAATATGCAGATTAACTCTTTTTGTACATGGAGGTTGATCCACTGGAATACTAACTTCATTTGATGCTTTCTTTACCATTGGGTTCAAAACTTTTGAACTTAATACTGCTTTTGCTGAGAATTGCTTCTTTGAATTTTCAATATGAATTTGATGCAATATACAAGAGAAAATGCATTCCATAATATATTTTTTGTTCTGGTTACAAATATTTAGTTGCTTTGACCTCAATTTTGTGGAAAAGTTCATTTTCTTTCTATTTGATATTAATGGGCTATTAGATAATTCTGATTGCCTTTTTCTCCATGGATCTACATTGACATTTACAGAGATGCTATCACTTTCTTTCCTTGCTGTACTGACTGCCTGTTTTAAATGGAAAGGGTCTCTGATGTGGCAAGGTATAGAATCTGGGATGCTGCTAGGACTGTTAACTGGTTTTGCATATCCTCTCGGAGCTGCACATGTTTTATGCAGACCTCCTAGATTTGTATGAAAAAATTTCTGTCCTTTGGAACCTAGTAAGATATCAGTTTTCTTTAATCCTCTTCCCAATAGATCTGAAATACTTTTTGGGTTAATATACACATTTCCTTCCTTAGCTGCCTGTCCTGTGTTTTCCAAATGAAGGGGCCCCCTAATGGGCATGACAGACTTGCAGTGTGTAATGGAATTGCCTTCTTGTCTCAACAACTTTCGCTTCTTATGAGTCTTTTGTTGAAAAGCATCTAACTCTGTGAGAAAGATATTCTCTCCTTTTGAACTTGAAATATCTTTTTCCTTTGATTCTTCTGTACCCTGCAGAATTGAAACTGAACGTTTAGCAATGTCTATAATTCCTTGCTTTACTCTTTGTGCAACAAGGAATTCAGATTCTGCATATGTTCTAATTCTCGGGGTATTGAGCATACTGAAATTGATTTCTGTTTTTTGTGGAAATGCAACACGATATGCTTCTCCTTCCGAATCAACTTTCGATTTGACATGGTCCAGCTTCTCCATTTGATGGTTAATCATTAAGTGATCTCTACATTGTGGGAGAATGTCTAGTAAAACAACCTGATGTTCTTTGTTTTGCTCTATGACACATTTCTCTGGTCTCCTGATAACACTTGATATGGCACTCTGATCAATGGATTGTGAATATAATGTTTTCGGTATGAGTGATTTCTTCAGCTTTAGCTGTGGAAAAATGTGTATTGGCTTTTGTAGTTTGTCTTTTTCCCTTTTCACTACTATAACCTCTTTAATTAGAGATGTAATACAGCCAGAATCACAAATATTACTCAGAACTAAACCTGCCACATTTTTACCTGGACCTTGCTGTAACTCTTTGTTCTGTTTTATAATGTTACATCTCAATTCCTTTTTGTTTCTTTGGGTTCCACATTCAAGCCACTGGGAAACTGGTGTTTTCTTTGCATCCAGTCTTACCTGTTTGGTATGCACAGGGCTTTTCACATCAGCTGTTCTTGCCATATCTTTATGTCTTATAATTTTAGGATACATAGATAGGTAGGCACATGGAGAACTGCAAATAGTGTCTGAGAAATAGGACTCTGGTTGTTTCTTTTGCAGGGCAAGAGTCTTGGAATTTGTTCTTGTTCTCCATCTTGCAGTTTTAAATTCCTTCTTCTGCTTTTCATTTTGAAGAGGATTTATCTCAGAGAAAAAGCTAGATTCTGAACTAACCTCTTCTCCAACTTTTATCTCTGCATCTTGATCTATTAAATAAATACCTGTTTTCTGAGGAGTGATGTTCTTGGGACATGCTGTATTGATTAAAGGTGCTTCTGATTTGAAAGGACCAGTTACTCTCATTTGTTCTGCTCCAAACTCAAATGGCTGGGTATTCCCTGAGTCTGTTCTAAACAAGACCTGTTGTTTATATTCTTCCTCCCTAACTTTTGCTTTGCTTAGGGTGTTTCTTTTCTCAGCAAATTCTTCATATGTATTCCATGTACTAGGTGAATGTTCCATTTTTATACATTGTAGAAGAGGCATAGAGGTGTGTGCAGATATTATGTCAGCATTTAACACAGGTTTATGTTTCACTGTTTTTATCTTTGGGGACTTAGAGTTCCATTTCTCATTAATGCTTGCAGAAGCATAACCCACAGCATTAAGTGATTGTGAAACTGATTGCTTTCCCTGTGAAAGTATACATTTGGCACTTGACATGTCATGTATTTTTATACTATTGATTTGATTTTTAATTTCTTCTGAAGTAGGTAATTGCCTACCAACAGGATCTATAATTCCTGCCAAATGGTATGGAGATTTTTCTTTTACAGCAGAATGGTTAATTTTCTTCGTATATTTATTAGATATGCCATCACCTGTTGGCTCACTGAGTTCTGCATGAATATGTGATTTTTCTGTACTTGAGAGTCCTATCTCTATTTTATATTTATTTTGCTTTTTAATGTCAGAGATAACTGATGTGAAGTAAATGGTATTAAGAAATGTATCAGTCATATTTTTAACTTGCCACATTACTTTCATTTTAGTTCTTAAATTAGATGCAAATTTCTTTCTATGTTTTGTGGTAAAGTGTCCATTGATTTTAAGTATCTGTGAGATCAAAGGCTTCTTTTCCTTCACAGTTAAACATTTGTGATTCAATATAATTTCATTTTCTGATAACTGTACTATGTTTACCTGGCTTTTGGCGTCAGGTAAAACAGGCATGAAAATATCTGAAGATCCCAAGAAAGTTGTGGCTAAGTTTTCTTGTAACTCTCCCTTTTCTTTTGTCATATGACCACCCAGAGTTTTTTGATGTGTTCTGTTAGATGGAGTGCCCCTTGCTGTATCAAATGGTTGTTCATCAATCATTAATTTGGGTAATGGACTCTTAGCACCTTCAATGGTACTAAGTAATGCCTCTCCTACTCTTACATGCCTTTGCATCTCTCCCATCTGGTACTTAACGTTATGCTGCTTTTTCTTTTTACGGTTTCCTGTAGGATAACTTGCAATATCAAGCAACTTTGAAATTGGTGGTTGCTTTGCCTTTAAAGTTACATGCTTGGGACTCAGAGTTTTTTTGCTTATGAACTCTATTGTGTAGCTCTCACTTTTAGATTCTGGTGACACAAGGCTGGAGAAAGTTAAAGGTTTTAAAGCTATTCTTGGGTCCTTTTGATTCAGTGCCCTTTTTTCAGAAATGGGACCGTTCCATTTCCTTCTAGGATTTCCATCCCCAGGCATATCACATGGTATTGAGCCAATCTCGGATTCTTTTGGTTTTGGAAATTGAGTCTCTAGAGCTACATTACTCTTTATTATTTCCTGAATCTGAGGGAGTTTTCCCACTGTTTCAACTTGAAGAAAATTCACCAACTGTCTTAAAACAGGCTCTAAAATTGTTTTTCTAAGGTATGTTTCTTGTGCTGTGCAAGGTAAATTCCAAGTCCTTCTGCCTTTTGAATTCTTCAGATTGGATTCTGATTTGCAAGGGTTAAGATTTTTCATTTGCTGTGCACAGAAACTGAAGTGTGGGCTATAGTGTGGAACTGATTCTTGGGATAGTTTTGAGAACGTTCTTGGGATAGTTTTCTCTATCTTTTCCTGTTGCATGTTCATTTTCATTGCATTGTTAGGACTGTTTTGTATATTGTTCAAATTAGCCTTCTGTGCTTCCCTATCACGACGTGATTTCTCTAACTCTGGATGGGTTGCTGAGTTCTTCAGTTTTAGACCTGATTTCACAAACTTAGCCTCCTTCATTTGATGAGCATTGGAATTGAAGTTCTGGACAGTGAATGGGCCCTCTTCTCTACCTTGGCCTTTTACATTCTCAGTGTCATTTGAGGTAGTGCTCTTATCAATGGGATGTGCATGCCGGGCTCTCTCTCCACGTGCTGACTGCTCTCTTTGTTGCAGCTCATAATCAAATCTTGTTCCCCATGGCATGCCTGTCTCTTCTGTTCTGTTCCCTATCTGATAGGTTTTCATCTCAAGGGACACAGGCATGGGAAAGGAAATCACATTCAAGAATATGTCTGCCACAGGCTTACCTTGTTTCGTCTTGGTTTTGGAGTTGCATTTTAATTGCCTTCTAAGGCTTGGCATACCACATCTTATGATACTAAATGTCTGGGAGATTGGTGCCTTCTTTGCCTTCAAAGTTCCACATTTGAGACTCATTTTATGTCCTTTGTCCCTAAGTTCTAAATTGCCTCTCTCTCTTTTAGATGCAGGTAAAGGAAGGGTGGAAAAATCCAAAGAATCCAGAATGACTGCTGGTAATTCTTGTGCTAATCCCTTCTGCTTCTTTGCTATTGGATCTTGCAGTACAATTGTATAAAGCCCATCAAATAGGACCCCAGAGTATGTAAAAATTTTAACCATCTGTGATTTCAAGGTCTTTGGAGGTAGACTTTTTTGACGACATTGTGGAATATTTAATATCTTTGAAACTGATGGCTTCCTGGCCTTCATAATTATACATGTGGGACTCATTTTACTTTTTAAGGCTTTACAAATAAATATCTTTTTCTGCTTATTAGATTTAGGTAGATTAGGTTTGGAAACATTCAAAAATTCCAGAATAGTTGCTTGTAGATCATTTTTAAGCTCTGCCTTTTCTGCTTCTTCCCAACTGTACGGTACCCCTGTATGATTTTCATCAGGCAGTACATCACATTCTGTTGTACCAATTAAAATTTCATCCATTTGTGGTTTCTTTGATTTTAAAGGAGCAAGCTTTGAACTTGTATATATTGTGCCATTTTGTGCTTGGAGGCTTTTCTTCAGCAATTCTTCCTGTACTACATCAGCAGGTTGAATCTGTAGTGGGACCTCTTGTTCTGAAACAAACAGAATTTTTCTACTTCTTTGGTTTCCTGATTTGTAAAAGTTAAGATCATTCCTTTGACCTGAGCAGAATACAAAGTGTTGCCTATATGGTGGAATTACTTTTAACAATGCCTCCTCACTTTCTTCTTCTTCTTCTTCTTCATCTTGAAGATTGCTTTCTTTGATGTCATCTGAAGTAATATTCCCATCACATGGTACTATCTCTTGCTTTACTTGTGTAGAACTGAGTCTTTTTTCTTTTGGTGTGCCTTCCTCTGTTTCTATATTGCTGTTTATCTTGATATCACTTGTGTACATTGTTGAAGAGTACATTTTATCTGCCACTTTTTTATCTTTCATTTTGGTCAAGTCACATACCATTTTCTTTCTATGATTTGGTTTAGTACCACCCTTGATATTGAGTATATATGAAATTGATGGTTTCTTTGCCTTCTTAATTCTACATTTGGGATTCACTGAAATTTTTGTGTCTGAAAATTGCTTGAAGTTTTTCTTTCTTTCAGATGTAGATAAAGCAGATGTGCAGAAACCAAGAGTCATTGTCCTTTTATTTTCACCACTGCCAGCCTGGTCCTTGTGATGGCTTGCATCAGGAGGAACTCCACTTTCTCTTGTAGAAAATGCATCAACAATCTCTTCCCCAGGCTGTAGAGGTGAAAACCTATAACAACTCTCTAGGTTTTCTAATTGAAATTGATCCAGTATAGGGCATGAAATAGAACCCCAAAGAGTTTGTATAAAATCTGTTTGTGGTTGTCCCTCAGTATGTGTACTTCCTGATAGAGTCAATTCCTCATCTGATTTGACAAGGTCATGATCTTTCTTTTGATATGCATCAAATACGAAACCATAGCTATTCCCTGGCATCTTTAAAGCTATAGGCTTCTCTTTCCTGTTCTTTCCACACTTCATCACATTGGAAAAACTATTCACATCAGTAGAATATGGGCAATGTACATTTCTTGCATGTGGTGAGATCTCTTGCATTAGTTGATTATGATCAATTCTTATTTTCTGTATATCCAAATTTAAGGCTC